ACATTACATTACCTTACCTTACATTACATTACCTTATATTACATTACCTTACATTATCTTAGATTAAATTGCCTTACCTTATATTACATTACCTTACTTTACCTTACATTGCCTTACCTTACCTTACCTTACACTACCTAACCTTCATTTACATTTGACCATGTATGCTGTTTCATGAAGTGTGGCTAGCATCAGTGCTCAAGGACTGCTGAAGTAAGATTAGTTTTCCACTTTAAAAGGAATCAGCAGCAGATCTCCACCATGGGAGCAGTAAGGCACAAGTACTGCTAAGAAGGAAGCTCAGCCTGCTGATGTAATGAGACAACACGTCTACTTTCCTGTATATATTTATATTAGATCAACGTTTTTATAGCATCAGATCCTAAACCTGGTTAAACCAACCTGATCACATTTACATATATCCAAAACGAGGACGTCCATATATCACCTTTTCTACAGACAGCAGCTGTCTCCTCCTCCTCCTCTTCTCCCAACTCATCTGATCATTAAACATCACTGTGTATGAAGTGGGCCCTTGCACAGTTTTGGGTGGTGTCTGTGCAGACCCTTACATGTGCACCCCTCAGTGTTGGGTTGACACCAGCTCCCCAGTGTGATAATATAGGACAATTGTGACACATTTTGCTATTAGTTGTTTCTTTGATTTATTTGTCTTACCTCTGCGTGTTGCACGGCTCTATGTGTGGGTGTGAAAGTCATTTTAATCCAGAGAGATCTACTTGCTAGGGAAATGCAGTATTGTGGGCAGAGTATGGGGAACCCCTCCATAGTCAGGACCAAGGTGAGTCGGGGCGCTCCAGCACAGGCTGAACACAAGCACCAGGACTCTCTCCTCTGTACACAGAGCCAGCCTTTGATCTCTCTATATTCCGTGCTGTGCAAAAATCAGAGATTATACTGCACAAATCCATGCTTTCATGTATCATCCCCCCACATAAGAGAGGATTTGCAGGCATGTAACTTTTGCCCTTTGTATGAACAGCTCAAACCTAAACTGTGCATGAGTGCAGAGCACGGGGACTCTGGAATAAAACTGCTGAATGTTTGTTCCTATTGGTTCCTCAGATTCTTCTTCCTTTACACTACAATTAAAAAAAGTGACATTGGTTTGTCTATTGTGCTCCTCAGCTTCACGTTCGCCCCCCATTGTTCCTATTATAATTTGGATTGGTCAGGCTCAGCTGCCCTCTTCATTTTATTATAATGTGGATCTTAGAATAAAAAGGGGTTGTAGCTTAGTCCAGCCAATCACCGTTCACTGATCATTCTCTCAACTATTGGAAAAATTAGACATGTCATGAGGTTGACTTACAGGAGCAAAACTGGAGCAAAGATGGTGTTGTTGCTTATAGCAACCAGTCTGCTGTACATGAAGCAATTCATTATCCAGTGGGAAACAGCTCAGCTTTAGCTCCAATCTTCTTCGATACACTTTTTGTAAATCACTGTGTTGGTCATTGATACATGTACAGTATATATGCGGTTTTCTCTGCTCTCTTTGTAAATAAGAGGCCCCTTGGCTGTCATAAATAAGTGACAAGTGATCTCCTCTTTGTTGTACAAAAACAGCGAAATTCGTGCGAGTCTGACATGGGCAGGCTGCAGGACATTTGGATGTATCCCCAGACTCGTCAGTGCTGGGACCACGAATTTCACTGAGACCTCCTGAGACTATAAGCGAATGAAGCCGGCGAATATATTCTATAGACACTAAAAGGAAATGGTTTCTTGTTTTACAATTATATTCGTCTTCTAATAACATGTCCAGTCCTAGTAAACAAGGCGATCAAGTTTTGTGCAACGTTTCATGTACACGGCCACCCCAAATGTGTTTGTTACCTTCGCTACAGAGAGAAGATCCCCATCTAATTCTCTGAAAATCATCCTGCAAATGTCTCTTGTATATATTGATCTCTGCGAAGATGACAGAACAGAGTGTCACGTTGTAATATTGAAAAGAAAATGTTAGGAACGTTAATTCTAAATAAATATTACGAATCACTACGAATCCTATTAATTCCCGATGTAAAAGATCGCTTTCGCACAATTTTCTATGCCAATCTGGATTCGAATTTTCCTATTTAAAGACCGAAAGACCGTGAGCCACATGTAATCTGAATCAGACATCACTGTATATATCTATTTCATTACCTCAGGAGAAAATTGGAATCTTTTTGTAAAAATTTCGTTCCAGATCTTAGAACTAGAACTGTGTGGCCGCATGCATATTACATTTCGAAGTGTAACTTTTTGTTAATTTTTAAATAAACTGCAGAGATTCCAAGCCAAGCTCAGGTAAGAAAAGTGAATTCAGATTTCCAACATGTTAGTGGAGTTAAAACAATAACACCGCAAAGAATGTTTCATGTTCAAAGTTCGTTGAAATTTTGCTTTTATTGTTGTTGTTGTTGTTGTTATTACTACTACTAGCATTACTACTACAATTATTACTACTACTTCTACTATTATAATTATTGCTACTACTACTATGATATTGATTACTACTTTTTTAAATAAATTTGATTTTTATTATTATTAAGAATATTATTAATATTATTTCTACTACTATTACTACTACCACTGCTATTATTATTGTTAATACTATTACTACTGGTACTCTCATTATTTTTATTATTACTACTATGATTACTACTGCTGCTGCTGCTGCTGCTATTATTATTACTGCTACTACTACAACTATTATTAATATTATTATCATTATTACTACTGCTGCTGCTATTATTATTAATAATAATAATATTACTGCTGCTACTATCATTATTATTATTATTATTATTATTACTACTACCACTATGATTACTACTACTATTGCTACTATTTTTATTATTACCACTACAGTTACTATTTTTATTATTACGACTACTACTGTTCCTGTTGTTGTTAATATTATTATTACAGTTATTATTTTATTACTACGATTATTATTTTAATGCATTTTAAGCAGATGATTGCCAATTTAAGCAAATACTGTAATACAAACCCAGTTCCTTTTGTTGTGGTAGTCACTTTGATTTATACATTTTTCGTTTCATGATACCTGCTAGTAAAATAATTGTATTATATCTACAAGGAAAGTCTTGTATAAAAGTTGTATGCAATGTGTTGTTATAATACAAGTAAAGGTAGAAGAGGTGCGTTCTATGTATTGCTATAGAGTTTACAGGGAAGTCAACCTTTAGTACATTGTATATGAATCAAACATAAATGAGGACAGTCGGAGTAGGATTTCCTTGTCAGTGTTTGGCTTTTCTATTTAATTAAAGAAAGGTCCAGTTTTCTTGTCTTGCCCCTGAGCACGGTGTGATTTGTGGTGTAAGCCTGGCTCGGTGTGATGGTGGATGCTGTTGCTGGGCTTCTTATATATTCGTTATTTAATGTATCAGCTTCATTTTTGGCAATTGCGATGTAACTTGATGAAGCCACCTCCCATCCTCTGGGGTCTGCTTGTTGTATTGTATTAGGCAGAGCGATGTTGCATTTTCTGCGCCCTCTATCTGCTCTCACCTATCAGCATTCTGCCATGATGGTGGGGGGGCTAATATGCAATTACAGGACAGGACCCCCCCAAATAAATCCATCTGGAACCCGCAATCTCTGATAGTAGCCGGGCTCAGGGAAGCAGCACATGGGCCGATATCTAATAAAGAAGTGAAAAATTACAGACCTCGAGGATCATGTTTTGACTCCAAGGAACTAAAAGTCATTCGGAACCCAGCACTCCATAAAACATTCTTCTCACAATATACTCCCTTCTCTGATATTATACTTGGCATGGCACACAATCGGTTATAAATAGC